GAGACCTAGCAACTGTAAACTGGATATCATTCTTAAGTGACAAACCTTCAGCTTCCTGCTTTGGTGTCCTTCCTGAAGGCTGGAAAAGCCACTAAGCTCTGGTTCTTTTGTTGACTCCAGGTGTTTCTACTTTAGAGTGTCAGATCTTCATTCACAGTTGACATAGTGCACAATCTTGTATGACTTGTATATGCCATCTGACAGGCAAAGTCAATAGAATCTCTTGCCACTGCTGACTAATCATGTCCAAGTAATCCATTCGAAGCAGCCTGTTCCTCCAATATATCTTGTAAAGACATCCAGATTCATTTTCTTCCTAATTTCTACATGCAGCTGTAGCTTATAAAAAGGTACTGTTTTGGACTATAGTTGTTTATGCTGGTGTTGAAATTCTAGGAGTTGTAGTCCAAAAAAATAACTTATTCCAACCCTGAATGTAGCTCAGTTACTTCTTTACCTTGGAATGACTTATAGGGGGGAGAACAAGGCAAGGATGCAGAAGATCCTGCCGGGGGATGGGCAGCCTTCTTCAACATGTTATCATGACCAACAGGGCAGGGTTCTACAAACTCCTGATTCTGTTGGGCTTTTTTTCTTTTTTAAACTGTTTCAGTCTGATATTTTTTTTGTCACGTATGTCATATTGGAGTGGCTAACACACAATTTTATGAATAAATAATATATGTACTTCTTGCTTTAATCTTCTCCCACATGCAAGAAATGATGTGCCCTGAGCTTCAGAGGAAACAATATTGGCTGATAATCTGCCCATAGCTCAGGGTTTCTGGCATGATAAGCAGTAGAGGATCATGTTTGGATTTTTCATCTGAAACAAAAAAAGGTTGGCTGCAGAGTCTATCTTGCTGTATTTAACAGCAATAAAAAGAAGCTTAGTCAGGCGCTTTTTAAACTGAGCAGTGCAAATACACACAACAGAATAATCTGGAGATTCTTAAAGTGCTTTGACTTTTGAGCACAGGCAGTCATCCTAAAAGAGAGGCCAAAACCAACAAAAATTGCATTGCTGTCTGTAATCCAAGGATTGTCATGGTTTCCATGTCGCCCCTGTTATTGCAGGTCACAGCCAGGGCTAAGCTCCCTTCCTCTTTTACTCCTGGCCCGGGTTTTTGCCTTGATCATTTTGCTGAATTTCTCTCCATGTGGATTCCAGCTATCAAAACACCACCAATCACTTTTAACTGTCGGTCCCAACCCCGCCTTTCTTTCTAAATATTTCTTCATTTACTCTAACATTCAAGACTACGTCACTCATAGAATTGCCAGATGGATTTTCTCTGTGTCTTTCTGGAACATGTGGACAAAAAACTACATTAAAGCTGTTTTTGTTTAGGAAACCTTGGCTCTTTCAGATACATAATTCAGCCCCTCACACTTTATGATGGGATGAACCCCTCATAGGCTGTAACACTCCAGTGGCCAGTATGAAAACTGGTCTCACAGACCACACTTTGAGTGCCTTTAATGAATTCACTAACAGTTATTATGATCTTGTTGCCTTGAAGATCCAAATAATCATTCCCTGGCTGATGTTACGGAATGAATAAAATGGAGATAAATATTGCCTTAACTTGGCTGTGTTTGTGGAAGTTAGGATTAAAATTCTATTATGTCTAAGCCTTTGGGCCCAAGTTGTGGCACGCAGAATTGGGGCATGTTTCAGAACAGAGAGTTCTGAATTATCACATTATCATGTTAGTATTTATTTTGGGGAACTGCTACATACTGACCATCACCCAATGTTCTTATCCTTACCTCTTCACTAAGTCTTTATTTAGCACAGGACAAAAGATTTTAAACTTTTAGTGGGAGATTTTCTCCTAAAGTGAGGAATTTCGTACAGGAAGAAGATCACATTATGATCTGTTTCTGGATTTCAGGGGAACCTCAAAGTATTAAGAGGTTCATATAGTTGGCAGGGCAACCTCATAGCATTAGGTGTGCTATTTCCTTTCATACAAGTAGGTAGCCCACAAGGCAAAAGGCTAAGGTAAAACCTTTCTCATTCACATGAAGCTGTCTAAATTTGGAGACTTTCATGAGAAGTGGTGGAGTCCAGAAACAGAACAGTTTTACCATATCACCTGCCACGCTCTGTATGGTTTCATTGGAATAAACCCTATTGAATTCTGTGGAACCAATTTTTGACTAGATATGTACAAGATTATGCTATTAATTTGTTACAGTATTTATGTAAACCTGTATTATGTCTGGCAGGCTGCTCAGCTTCTGATAGCTAGAATGCAGCCCAGTAGATATGCATGGTGGTACGCCTCCTGAACTTTGTTTTTCCTTTCCAACTATGCCAATTTTAACTGAGCCTCTATTAATGTGGTTTTGAGTAGCCCAAAACATCATGGAGAAATGTGACTCTTGTGTCTTGCAACTTTATCCTGAACATGCTTTACTCCTCTGAAGAGGATCCCCATCTATTTAAATGAGCTTTACATCTATGCCAATGTTTCCCAACCTTGGACCCCTAGATGTTTTTGGACTAACACTCCCAGAACCCTTCACCATTAGCTGTGCTGGCCAAGATTTCTGACAGTTGTCATCCAAGCACATCTGGGGGAGGGTTGGGAACCACTAGTCTACATCACTGGTTCTTAACCTTGGGTTACTCAGGAGTTTTGGACTGCAACTCCCAGAAGCCTTCACCACCATCTGTCCTGACTGGGGTTTCTGGGAGTTGCAGTTCAAAAGCATCCGAGTAACAAAGGTTAAGAACCACTGGTCTACATAATTATCTGTGAAGCTTGCATGTTGGGTCTCTTATTGCCCCTGCATTAAGCCTTTTAATGATGGCAAAAGCTTTATTTCATAAGACAGGAAGGATCATGAAAACCAGACATCTGCACTGCTATTAAAATTGGCTTGAAAATACATTTCTTATGTATTCTCTGGGGTAACAGCCGAAACATATTTTCCATGTTAATTCTGCAAAATTAAAGAGCGTTGTTTGAACATTCTCATAATCAAACACTCTTTGCTTGGTTCCCATTGCGAGTCCATTTTCTTAACATGTCATACAAGCTGTTACGACACTTGAGAGGCAGATCAGATTAATATTGACACATGGATTTCTAGTTGCCTTGCAAAACAGATGGTGTATTTGTAGATGTATTGCCTGTTTGTCACAATTCACTTTAACTAGAATTTGTTTGCCATGTTTATTGGCTTCCTTCCTGTTTTTAAACTAGAAGTTTGGACATGCTGTTGTGTAATTGCTTGCCCTGAATGTGAACAATTAAATAAACTTTATAGAAGTAAACATTTTCATATTTGCGTGAATCTTTACCGAATAATTGATGGAATGACAGTATAAATATAGTGGTGGTTTTCTTGGCATTTTTGTTGAGTTTTTTGGAAGGTTATGCTACAATTCTAACTTCTGAGTAAATAATGTCCTGTTATCAAAGGCACTAAGTATGTTAGTCAGGTGCTCTGGCAAGAAAGCCCAAAATCTCTGGCTTCACTGCGTAAACACTTACCTAACCCTTTTTCCTGTGACTGTGATATCCTCTGAGATAAACAAGTCTCTAGCCTAGGCACTGAAATAAAGAATTTCTGTCCCTAGACATTTGCAGAGCTTTGAAATTTGCTTCTAAAAAACAGTTCCCCCCAAAAAAACAGTTCATTGCCTTTATTGCTACAATTTTGAAAATACTGTGTTTTTTTTAAAAAAGGATTCAATAATTAGTAGTAAGTCACGTTCTAAAGAAAGAAATCTCAGTCCCACGAAACATACTCTTCCCTTCCACCTCATTGTTACTGTTACTCTCAAACAAACCATCCTGGTGCAGCATTAGGTAAGGCAAGAACTGTACTTGGACTAGATGATATTCTTTCTCTTTCATTGACTGAGGCTGTGCCGTGTGACTCTGGAACTTCACACTGCAAAAGGGGTGAGGTGATCCCTTGCTGATGCAAAAGAGTTGTACCTTAGATATTTGAAAAAGAAATGCTTTCTATGCAATTTGTAGCGAGTTATTTTCAATCTGGGAATTTGCCATTCTTTCCTTTTAGGAAAATCTTCAGTATCACAACTTACAGGGCAAGGAGGAGTAGCAGCTTGTGGGCCAAGCAGGGAGTGAAGTTTCATGGAATGTGCACCGGCTCTATAGCAGAGAGCACACAGCAGAAGGGCTTTTATACTGCAGATACTTCAGGAATGTAACTTCTTCGACCACAGAGCTTGTATTAGAGAAGTATGAGTGACCCATTGACAGGGGTGGAGTCTCAGTTGTGCTTTCACTAAAATAATGAAACAGTGAGCCCAGCCACAAAGAATCCCTCCTATTTGTATGTGAATGGCAAGAATATGACAACCCTGTTATGTGACAGACTGCTATCATTGATTGATAGGATGCCATACATTTACATAATGCTTTACAAGGAAGAGATGGAGACTTTGGCCCCTAAAAAGCTTAACATCTGACAAAGCGAATACAGGAATGGAAAGGGATGATGATGAGACAGATTTGTATGCAAATGAGTCAAGTAACATGTACAGAGTTTTAGTTATAGCTAAGAAAGTGAAGCACTTAAGCTAGAAATGTGACATATAAGGTGGAATTTGAAGCTGAGGAAGAGAATGGGAATAGCATGTATTTTGAGGGGACGAGTTCCAGAGCCTAAGGGGAAGCAAGGCAGAAAGGATGAACATAGTAAACAACTGGAAACTTCCATGGGGGCATAGAAGTGGCAGAGTTGCAGGGCAAAAAGTTATGGGGGTGGGGCATATCAGGAGATGGTAAGGGCAGAAAGAACAAAATATCATAGCAAAGCTACGCTTCCAAGTCAATGTTAGTTACATATCCAGAAATAATCTGGGATCCAGGCACTTTACATTACAACTGAATAACAATTGCAACAATACAACAATCAACAAAATCAGTTCATGGTTATAAAACTACTGGCTGTTGAATCAACTTGTGATCCTTGCAAAGAAGTAAAAGTTCCATTTGTTTATCTCCTTGCAGGTGATGTCTTCCATATAACGTCTCCCAACAAGTTGACCTTTGAAGAAGCTAAACTTCAATGTGAGGCACAAGATGCAGTTCTTGCTTCTGTTGGTGACTTGCATGCTGCCTGGAGGGAAGGCTTTGACCAGTGTGACTATGGCTGGCTGGCTGATGGCAGTGTGCGTTATCCTGTGTCTGTGGCAAGAATCCAGTGTGGTGGAGGCTTGCTTGGAGTGAGAACTCTGTATCGCTATGAGAACCAAACAGGATTTCCTTTCCCAGACAGCCGATTTGATGCCTACTGCTTTCTACGTAAGTTTCTTAGATTTTTATTTTGATGATGTGAGCCACTGCACACCTCTTTTTGTGTCGTATAAAGTGGGTTCCCTTTCTTGTAGCAAAATCATCCTATGACTCATGCTTTGTGCACTGTATAAAGAAATGCACCTGAAACAGCTCTTGAAATGGCCCACGGGTATATTTCACTGGGGAGAGGAGAGGAAGGGACTGATGTAAGTTTTGACTTCTATTCTCTGATAATCAATTAATAGGAACAACTATTTAATCAGCCATCTGAGGGTTTTTCTCCAAACTTGCAGGGGTATATTGCAGTTTAAGGTTAATTCCAAGGAAATTTTTGTGATTCTTCCTGATGATTCTTTAGATCTGGCTGCGGAATATTTTGCTGTCCAGAAATTTCAGACTTAAATTTCCATAAGCCCCAGTCAGCACGTCCTCTATTGAAAGATTATGAGACTGCAGTCCAAAACAGCTGGAGGGTGAAATTCTCCCCAACCTTTGCATGGATGAAGCAGAACATATTGTCCAAAGATATTATAAAGACAGAACTGGGCACAACTTCTATTTTACTTGAACTGGAGCCTGGCTCTAAGTCCTGCACACTCTACTGTTTTTCCCTTCCACTGACCCATCCTTATCTACTATACCTCCCAGTTATAAATATTAGGATGTCTCTTGGGATCAATGTATAACCTGTATATTAGGATGTATCTTGGGATCAAAACTTCTCTGAATGAAGAAGCCTGTTCATATGCTGAACTTGGCATTTGAAATACTCCATGAATACTGAATGCCAGTGTAGACGAGTTAGGGTTATCAAGCTAGTTGTACAGTAAAATTGAGTTGCATGAGTTGAATTATCTTCTAGTAGTCACTTAAGTCTCTTATAAGGCAGAGATTGGACTGATATTCTCAAGGTAGCACAACCCCCCTGTAAATACTCCTGAGAACTTTTCTTTTGCCTTCTGAAGTTTCCTGAGTCCAGGGTTCTGTACTCTTCTTCCATAAATGCATTTATGTGTCTGCAAAAATAATTCATGGTAAGAAACTAGCTTTATGTGTACAGGAGGCTTTATTGCCTTTTGCATATGTGAAAGAGGGATTTAAAAAAGCCATCTCTATACCCCTCTGATTGCCATTGTTTTTATGTGGATGTCGTCCCTCCTTGTCTCTTTGCTCATCTACTCAGAAAAACAACTACATTTGTAAAGAAAACACCTGGCGTTCAAAACAAACAACAGGTTATAATTGCAACCATTTATATCATGTTCAAGTTTGTGGGGCTGTAGGTAGGGATGCAAAACATAATACTCAGTTCCAAGAAAAGACAAAATCCAAGGGAGATGTCTAGATAGTGGCAGTGCCTGAAGTCTGTAGAACAGATGTTCATACAGTAAAAAGAAATGATGTCATCCTGTTACTGTGTCCCTTTGCCCCTTGCCTCAGACCAGAAGTTCTCATTTGCTCAACCTTTGTACTTCTAAGCCACATGTTACGTATTTACTGTAATGTGGAGAGGCACAAAATCTTACCCTGTTACTCTGGGAGTCATCTGTTCTGTAGCCATTCATGTAAAGATTTGCACTTCAGTGTCACTACCAACAAAGCCAGGAAGTAAGGAGGGGTTGGTGGGGGAGGAGAAGGAGTGAATTAGATCCTTAGAATCCAGCTAGATGCTGAGGGTTCCCCCCCCCCCACATCCAGCAAAGCAACAGATCTTTGCCAGGAAAAGCATCTGTCTTAACAGTTTTTTATTAAAAAAGCAAACATTGTTGTCAACAAAGCATTTAGCCTTGTTCGTGTTTTTATGCTTAAGACCTCTTATAAGAAAACCTCTCTTTGGAGCAGAAATCAGTTCTATATAGATAGATATATCTGTACTTCAGGAAAATAAAACCCCTTTTATATTCTTTTGCTGTTGGAAAAAAAACATTTCGAAAACTGATTTCAATAAAAAGTAATTTCAATAACTAGTTTCAAATGACAGGAGATCAGTATTGACTGAAAAACATCAGATCTTAGAAACATGACTCTTCTAAAATGAAATAAAATAAAATAAAATAAAATACAGCTTCCTGAATTACAGAACCAGTTGCTATGCTTGGTGTGGGTTTCTGGAGCAGTAGTTTAAAAAGTTACTTTCCAAGATGCAGAAGGTATAGATTACAATCCTAATATTTATATGGCCTTATCTTCCTTCGTTCTAAGCAGGAAACAAGAGTTTAACTGCAGGCTAAAGTCCTGAAGATTTCTGATGCATTTCTGATTTGTATTGTGCTTCTAGGATGTTACTTAATGACAGTTAAGTCAGATCCAAACATCTACTTAATTTGAAGCCAGATTTTGGCTGAATACAAGGGATAAGTTCTTAACTGTTTGAGCAGTATGACAATGGAACCAATTACCTTGGGAGGTGGTGAGCTCTCCAACGCTGGAGGCATTCAAGAAAAAAATGGACAACTATCTACTTTGACTTGGGTTCCTGTAATGAGCAGGGATTTGGACTCGATGGCCTTATAGGCCCCTTCCAACTCAGTTATTCCATGATTTCACATGATATGCTCATTGCTTTGCTAGATGAATACTGTACAGCTATTTGAAATAGTAGGTCTAAGAGTCCCATATCTCCGTCTTTGTGCACGAAATGTGCAAGTACTGCTAGTTTGTTTGTTTGTTTGTTTGTTTGTTTGTTTGTTTGTTTGTTTGTTTGTTTGTTTGTTTGTTTGTTTTATTTATTTATTTATTTATTTATTTATTTATTTATTTATTTATTTATTTATTTACTATTCCTTTAGTTGTATTCTAGTTTCTTTCATTCTTGAGCTGCTGGATGCTTTTTGTACTCACAGAGAGGTAAAAAGCAATTTAGAGGTGCTGGGAGTTCTGTCTTAATAGCCCCAAGAATATTTGTGTGTGTGTGTATGTGTTGATATGCATGCCATTTGCCCTTCTAGATTATTCCCCAAGCTTTTGATCTTAAAATCACAACTCTGAGCACTAACTACAATAATATTGGTTACGCTTTTGTTTCTCAAAAAACCACATAGTTTTCTAAAATATTAATATTCTGTCCTATCTCTGCTCTTGATTATGGACTCAAAGTCTGAATTTCTATCACACTGGTATTAAGAAAGCTGCATGAAAGTCTTTATAATTTATTATCATAAACTTTTCCACTACAGTTTTATAACTACCTGGTTCTCACTGTGGAAGTCCTAACAGTTCCTTCCCTTTTATAATCTCCTTCCTTGTACTCCCAGCTCTTAATAACATTTCTTAATAACTTCCTAAAGTTCTCACAAAAACATAAGATCATGCTAGGTCAGATTGGGGTGGCCACATAGGCATCACCAAAAATAGGAGATTCATCATGCCCCCCCCCACAAGGACAAATGTTTGCATAAAATGCCCATGCTAATTGGACATTACTATCCAAAAAATATTTTTGCCCTATGCCCATCTTTAGGTGGGAAATTAATACAACACCTCTATTCTATTCTTATTTTTAAAAAAGAATCATAACTGTGCCTGTGCATATGTGAAGATACATGGTTGAAAGGAGAACATTATTATAGTAATGACATGGCACCAAACATGCTGAGGACATTTGGTCAGATAAAATGAACATTTTGGAGAAAGAGGGGAAAGTAGTAGTAGTAGTAGTAGTAGTAGTAGTAGTAGTAGTAGTAGTAGTAGTAGTAGTAGTAGTAGTAGTAGTATAGTAGTATAGTAGTAGTAGTATACTGGATAAATTTAGTCAGGTTCATACCTATCAACTGGTAGAAAGAGTGTGGTGAAAATACAAAGATTAAACCTTCCAGTCACCACATCTATATTTTCCTCAAAAATTCAATGTGATGAGGAATGTGGACTTAAAGGGGGGGGTTATACTATGGGGTGATGTGTTGAGATTGATATATTTTTGCTTTGCCAGCAAAAAATCCTAATCTAGGATTACAAATGTATGTACAGATCTAGCTGAGATGTTAATTGATGAGCAACTTCAGTGACCCTGCTTTGACTTATTAGAGTTCTTTACTTGATTAGACAGCTCATCAAAGAGTGGACCACCCAATGGTCCACATAGCTTGTTTGTTTACTCATAATGGCCAAGAGGCATGCCTCAGAGAAGTTCACAAATGGAGTACGATGGCAATTTCTGTCTCTTGTTAATCCCAATCAACTAGTATTCTGCCAGAGAATTTAAGACAGCGACCACAGTTTATGATTTTGCACTTTAGTGTCAGTTAAATGTAAGTACAGTACTTTGTGCTTAACACTTGTACTTGCTCTGTAATATCACTTGAAATGTGTACATCCTAGCTGTATAGATTCGTGTGAATTTGTTTAAATATCCATCTGCAGAGAGTTTGTGTCCTCACTGTGCGTCATTGACAGGGGCTGGGCTTGATGATCCATTGAGTCGCTTCCAGTTCCGCAGTTCTAAGGTTATGATGATGATGATATTTATATTTCATACAGGAAATGGATGAATTTCAGCTTTCAATGTTACTTATTTGTTCTTCTTTATATTCCATTTATATACTGCTTCTCAACAAGGCTGTGGTCTGAGCAGTTTACAGCAAAGTACAAGGGGACACTATACACAAAATGTGTGTGAGAGAGACTGTAAAGTAAGAACAATCAACAAAGAGAAGGAGTTAAAGACCTCAGTTGAAAATGTAAACCAAGTAGAAGCGCTTTGAAATATAACAGTTTTCATCTCCTGTGTGAAGGCCGGTAGGGAGGATCTTTAATTGAACCTCTTTTTTTGGACAGGAATGCTGAGGAGACAACAAGGACAGCATTAGCTTTTGTAGCCAACTGGGTTAGTTCAGATTGTGGGAGGCATATGGACAACCTCAGTTTTTTTTTTCAACTTCCTCTTGTTGTCTTTTTCTTATCAAAGGTTGTCTTCAATCTCAAAGGCTCTTTCTGAATTCTCATGGCTAAATTTAATTAGGTTTGTATCTGAACTAATTACAGAAGAGCACGCAAGCTGAAGGATGCTG